GTCAGTGGAGCATGGGAAACTAAAAAGTCCTTGGCTAGTGTAAGCATTACCTAGCAACAACTAAAACATCGGTGCGTTATCAACTTTGTTCTCATCCTAAATCCAAAACACTGTACCAGCTACTAGGAAGGAAGTTAACTCTATCCCTGCCGAAACCAGGACACTTCCATCAACTGATGTGTTTTGTTTTTCCTGGGAAACTGTCCCACTTCAAATGATCGTGTAATGGGATTAAGGAATAAGCCATTTCAGGAGAGGAGAGGTTCTAAGTTACTGTTGTCTCTTATGATATTCAAATATCGGAGTTGTATTCCTACTATAGGTTTTGTTTTATTCATGAAAAAGCCTTCCAGATGTCTATAATATGTTGATAACCTGAACACAGGTGTTCATCATTGGTGTTTTGCTGTGCACTCATTTGGGGGTAACTTTAACTGGATTAACTGGCCAATTGACTTGAATTTTACAGCGAGCTTTTGAGACTGGTGCAGAGTCCCTCAGCTGTGTTACCTGCACTTGCACAGCATACTGCTTTCTAAACGTACTTATGTGTTCAGCTGCTGAAGGTTTGAAGTTGCTTTCTTTGTGTTGTAGGCAGAAGAAAATTTAGGAATGGTAATGATCTTCACTCTAGTCTCAGCAGTACAGGAGAAATTAAATGAAATAGTGGATCAAATAAAAACACGAAGAGAAGAGGAAAAGAAACAGAAAGAAAGAGAAGCGGAAGAAGAAGAGAAAGTATGTAAAATAATGTTTTCAACTAAAAATTTCCCACTTTTTTTAAATGTGTGGGTTTGATGCAGGAAAAATTCTCGGTTGCAGTGGGAGAGGAACATCTATCCCAAAGCTGATATAATTAAAACTTAAGGACTAGGAGATTCTTTAGTACACTTAAGTGATTCCCCCCCCACTTTCTAAAGCAGTCTTTTCAGAGGCGTATTGCATGTTCATAGTCCCTTCTAGCATTATTTCCTAAGGCAGGGGCAGGGATTTTTCCCAAATAAAATCAAAGTTGCTGTAGCCAGTTTTTTGCTTGAAGAGGCAAGAGGCAATGGGGAGCCAAAAAGGCTAGAATATGGTATGCTGCACACAGGCTGCATGGTCTGAGGAAGTTTCTCTTCCTTGGTAGACTGAGTGGGTAGGGTGGAAGCTGTGGGACCAGTCTTCAAGACTGGTTTGTCCACCCTGTACGTGTCCTTTCTACCAGCCACTGTGGAATAGTTCTTCCATTCATGGAACGTGCTGTGATAAGTCCAACTACTGAGTCTTCACTTTCTTCCTCAGAAATAGCTAGAGGGTGATGGGATTTGGAAGGTTCAGTGTTTCTGAAAATGGCAGAAAAATAGCTGGAAGAAAAGAATCCTTTTTTCTCTCTCAACAAGATAGAAAGGTTAATGTATTTTAATGGAAAACATTTTGGTGTAGATTGCACTTAAGAGTTGGTAAGAAGTGCTGCCTACTTACGGATAACCTGTATTAGTGGTGTGTTGCTAACTATTGTACTGTAGGTCCAAAAGTAGTACATGGGGTTTTTCCATAAGAATTTCCACCTCAGTGCAGCTCTCTGAAGGGAGAGTCCCATGATGAAAACCAGTAAGAATGTGTTCTTTGTATATTCTCAGGGTTAGGATTAATTTCTCAGAATACTTCACAGCAAGTAGTGCTTCTGGAATATTGTAATTTAAATAGTTAAGAGAATGCTCATCTTCACTTGTAGCTTTGCAAGTTGTGTTTGCAGCCTTATTTTCTGTTCTTTCAGCAACGTTTTCACGGCACTCCTGTTACCATTGAGAATTTCCTAAATTGGAAAGCGAAGTTTGATGCAGAACTCCTAGAAATAAAAAGGAAAAAAATGAAAGAAGAAGAACAAGCGGGCAAAAATAAATTAAGCGGTATGATTTAAAACTGGTCCTGAAGTTTTTGCAATGTTACCGGACTATAACGACAAGCCTAAAAGTAATTTTTACACTGAAAGATGATGGTAGTAAATAAACTCTTAATGCAGTATTTGATTATTGTCCTCCATGTCACGTGAAGTCTTTCCGAGTGCTGATTTTGGGCTAAATACAAAGCTAATAGATTCCGGATTTCTGCGGGAAGTCATTGAGGTTCCCAAACTGTGTGTTTAAACTGCTTCGGTTTTGTGCCAGACAGTATACTACTTGGAGCTGCTACTGACAAGCATTGTTCTGGCAGAAAGAGTTGGGGTTTGTTAAGCAACAGAAAGAATCTACATCAGCCAGTTTATTGTTTTGGCCTTTATTGCACTGGATTGTACAGTGACTTCAGATTATTCAGGCGCATGTAGGAGTTTGGGATTGCTGTTGCTGGACTGAAGCAACACAGAGGCTGGCTGCTGCATATGACAAGCTTACAATGACTAGCGAGAATGGCTCTGATATTTTGGGGAAGAGCTTGTCATAGCAGTGGTTTCGGGCTCTGTGTTTTGCAGATCACAGTTTGTCCAGCAGAAAGCAAACTCCATATCCAGTGGGCAAAATGTGGAGGAAATTACAGTAAAAATTGTCTTAAATGTTTTACCATGAACACCAACCAGTCTTGGTAGCGGAAGCTTGCATAAGCAATGCAAATATAGATGGAAGATGGGTAGTTTATGTGGAAAGAGTCCTGAGCTTTTTATTCCCCTACCTTCAGATTAGAAAGGCTTCGCTTTGCCTTGTGTGATGTTTCCTTCACAGATGTGTGTGTGTGTGTAGGAGCTGGTGATTTGTGTGTAGATCCCAGTTGCTTTTCAAATTGGGAGGATATATGGAAAAAGGTGGAGGAGGCAGCTAATTTCCTTTCCAGTTCCCACAGAGGATTTCTTGTGGAATGCAAGACGAGGACTAAACCAATAGGGACTGAGCAAAGGCTGGGGGGCCGTACAGTGTAAATTCTGCCGCCCGCCCACCCCCCCATTATTAAAGCCTTAGTAATATTAAAGTGACTATAAGAAACAGTGACCCATTTCACATGTAAGAGGGCCGTACAGTGTAAATTCTGCCGCCCGCCCACCCCCCCATTATTAAAGCCTTAGTAATATTAAAGTGACTATAAGAAACAGTGACCCATTTCACATGTAAGAGGAGGAAGCCTGTTGTGTGGAAGAATCCTGGATGAATAGTCAAAAAATCAGAATGGGGAACTTACAGATCAGCAGCTTAAGGAAATAAAAGACTGCTTGAATTAGTTAATTTGAAAAGCCGAAAATAGAAGTGCTAACTATTTTTGCCTTAGGTTGATAGTTATTTCAGAATTCTACTTGCTTATATATTATATTTTATTTTATTTCTAGGTAAACAGCTGTTTGAAATGGATCACAACCTTGACACCTCTGACATCCAGTTCTTGGAGGAAGGTAAATTTCTGTTTGTTTCCACAACTCAAAGACAGTGGCTTAAAATAGGTCAAAATTCCTAAGCAAAAATCTGTATTATATTTCTGACTTAACATCTTACCTCAGTATCACTTTTACATCGGAAGAACTTTCTAAGAAGTACTGTTTTGCAGATTGAACTGAAGTGATTTTAACTTCTTTCAAGAACAAACAAAACATTTTCAAGATGCTAAAGCGTATTTATTTGCAGTTTTGAGCTTGAGTTGATCTTATTTCTGTTGCTTCTATTCAAGTGTTTGGACTGGAAGCAAAACCAAAACCAAGCAAAACAAAAACAAAACAAAAAACCCACAACCAAACCCTGCTTTTTCTTTTTTTCTAATAGCCAGCTTTCTTACCCCCGATTTCAAGCACAGATCTTGGAAGTTGTGTCTCCTTCTCTCTGAACCTCAACACCAATAGTAAACATCTTGCAGGTCAAATTAAATGCTATTTGCCTCTGTGCAACCCAGTTCTTCATGGTTTTGTGCAGATTTGTCTGTTATCTTACTGAAAATATCTGACCTGGTGCCAGCTGAAAATTTTGTAAGCCTGTGCCAAAAGATGATAAACTTAGAAAATCTGGTGGAGATAAATCAGATAAATCTACTCACAGTCACATATCTATTTAATTTTCTGTACTGCCTTTCAGTATCCTAGTTTAAAAGACTGATTTTTGAGTTAAGACAATTCTTTAATGTAGCTGTATTATCTACTGGTATTGCAAAACACATGCAGAAGAGAGTCAAGAATTTTCTCTGCAAGTAACAATTTTAAAAAAAAAAAAGTTGTTTATGAGCATCACTGAGTATAAACTTGAAATGACAGTAATGGGGGAGTTGAGTTTCTTTTAGTTAGAGGGCATAATTTAACCTTGTCTTCTTCCAAAATGCCTAAAGTGAAGTGGGTTGCTGATGGAACATTTGGCAGTCTCAAGGGAGGAACAGACCTCTATATTTGGGCTCTGTGCCCAAATGACTTGGGATTAACGTATTAACTTTTAATCCTGTTGCTATCGGTGATTAAAACCTCCTGTCTTTATTGCTGCTTGCATTCTATCATCAATGCAACAGGTTACTAACTGCAGTTTAATATTACAATACCGTGAAATAAGTAATACTAATTTTCACAGCTTAAACAGGATAATGGCATTATCTTTTAGATGGAAACGGTCATAAAGGCTCTTTCAAATCCAGTGAAAGAACAGAACCTTATTCGGTGGCCGGAAGATGTCACTGTTGATACACACAAATAAAATAGCAGTAGTCCTCAAGTTTTATCCTTAGGTCAGCATCATCTCTTGCAGAAGAAAATGTGAAAGCATACAAACATTCAACTTGCTTTTAAAATTTAAATCTGGAAACAAATGTAAATATATAAGTGGTGTGTAAGGGTTTTTTTTAATAAACCTTATGTGTTTCTGTGGCTATGATAGTTGTAACTGTTCCAGCTGTGAGGTCCTGAGCTCCTACTTTGACAGTACCTGGGAGAAAGAATCTCTGCTTATGGGAAAGATGTTAACTTCATTCTCCCAATGGATTCTGAGGTCCTGTGTGAGATTTCTCTTGGCTGAATTTTGGTATGAGGGGAAAAAAGCTTCACTTTAGCTGTAAAAAGATAAAAAGTGGCGTTTCCTTTTCCATATCTGTTTGATATATAAAAAGCCAAGTAAGTTAACAGCTACCTACACTGAAGAATGAGTATGAAAGTGTTATGTATTTTGTTGTTCAGGTACTGTTTTCCTGCTTGCATGAAAATAAATTATTTTTCTGTTCTTTGCAGCTGGAAACAGCGTGGAGGTTGATGAATCTTTATTCCAAGAAATGGATGATTTAGAGTTGGAGGATGAAGAGGATGACCCTGACTACAACCCTGTTAATTTAGATAGTGATTAGACTGTTTTGAACTGGCTCTGTCATCAGTATGGACATACGTAAGGAGACAGGGGCAGGCAGGAAAGCCACAGCATCTGTGGTTTTAGTAATGTGTATCATTTTTCTCTTTTTTTTCTTTCCTTTTTTCTTTTTTTCTAAAGAAAAAAACCAAAATATTTTAAATCCAGGAGAATGGTCTTCTGATGACTTTCATCATAAATAAATTTACTTCAATATTTCAAATGAAAAATTTGAGGAATATTGATCTATCTGAAAATGCTATTCTATTTTCTCTTATTTTTTCCTTCCCATTTCTGTAACTGTCCTTTGAAGAGATGTGACAACAAGCAAGATGGAAAGATGTTACAGCAAGCGCTAAACACACCTGCATCTGAAGGCTGAGCAGCTGTTCTGCTATCTTCCACCTAGGATATACATGGGCAGCTTTGGTGAATAAAAGGGATCACATACTATGCAGGGTTTTTTTAAATTTTTTTTTTTTTCTTCTGTGAAATTTTACAACACTTAAGTCAGTTCTGGTGCCCCAACCTATCAGCTGTAGATAGGCAGCACTAGTCACCTTTTAATAAGGCATGGCCTTATTAAAGTTTAATGGAAACCATTTCCATACTACTAGAGTAAAATATTTCACCGTAGTTGAGGATAATAGTTTCAAAATTACTAGTTCAAGTCTGTAGGAAAGAAAAATCGGAATGAGATGAAGTCCTCTTAAAAATTTTTATTGATTTGTTCAGAGAGGGTTTTTTTTTAATTTTGAACTTGTGCAACAATGAACTTCCATGGGAAAAAAAAAACCAAAACCAAACCCCAGCCTAGGAAAATGTAGTTTGCTTTTGGCAACAGTATGTTGAAACACTGTCAGTGGAGTGCAGAATACAGTACCAGGATTTATAGAGGGCTTGTAGGTTTGAATGTAGTGGGTGTTTTAGAAGCATCATGTTGGCAGCCCATAAAGGTTATCACAACACAGAGTAAAGCTACACATCAACTCGTGGATGTTAACCATCCTGCAGAGTTGCTTACGGAGCTGATGGCTTGATATTAGACACTTTCTCTCTTCCCACCTCCAAAAAAACCCAAAACACTGCAAGAACTGTGGTATTTAAACATGCTGTGTTTGAGACTGCGTCAGCTAGAAGGACGACGGTATGGCTGAAGGTTTCAAAAGACAGCTCTCCGAATAGAGAACCACCAGGCACCTCCTTGATTAAACACTGTGTGCTGAATTTTAAAATACTGTTAGTAGACTGCCTTAACTGTGCCAGCTTCAACCTTTGAAGAGGATTGCACTAAGTATCACAGTGCTTAGAGGAATAACAAATGTATGAGCTTTAATATTTGGTAATTCTCTATTCAAAATGAGAAATTTAATTCCAGAAATAATTTAATGGTGTGTAAGATTCTCTGCTCATATCGCTTGAGAACATCTGTTTAGGATGATCTCCTTTAACATGTTTCAGTAGTTTTTCTTTTTGTATTCAAGATGAATGAGTTTCTAGCAGACAGAAATAAATGTGCAAGTACCCTGTAAATACTTTTATAAATCAACCATGTGCCTTTGTTCCTACTGTCCTCTATTTGATCTTTTTAATTTTGGATACTAAGAACTCTAGGCAAGCATCTAGGTTTCAATGATAACGTTGTATGTTTCAAAGCAATAAGCAGGATCTGTGTTCCAGCAGAGTTACCAAATATATTAAAAAATTGTGAGCTAATGTGATACTAAATCTGACTTTTTCCAAAGATACGGTTGGATTAAAAGCTTGATAGTGACTACATCCAGCTGCCTGTGTCATTGTTAGTATGCTTTAAAATGCTGTTCAGCACTGAACTTAATTTACTTCTGGTATGTCTCAATTCAGCTGCATAAAAACTTTTAAGGCTGCTTTCCATTTTCAGCTATATATGTTTAAAACTAGCGTTTTTTCATAAAAGGAGTGAATTAGTTCTCTTTAAATCTGGACTGAATCCAAGAATGCTGTGTAGTCTGTGCAAAATGTGGTAATCAGAAAATTTTCCAAGTGGGTCACTGACGTCAAAGAATCATCTGCGTATGAAAAAAAGTTTCTCGATAATGGTATTTCTAGATTAATGAGATTTTCTAGTCTGTTTTCACACTAACATATTTATTGGTTTTCATGCAGAGGATGTATAGCTTAAAAATGCTAAACTGATGTCAAACAAGTTAAAATGTGAAAATGTGTTTTCACTGTTACATCTTATATTCAAAGCAGAGGAGATAATAAGGGTTGAAGTGACAAAAAATTGCATAAAGTCTGTTTCTCCAAGTCTTTGGAACAAGTTTCAGTGGCTCAATCTGAACTTCAGATTTGTTTAGCTTTATTAGCAATTAACATCTGTGAAATAAAAGGGAATTTGACTGAGAGTAAGCTCGGCTATGTTTGCGTGGTTTAGTTTGCTGAAATGGACTGAGAAGGTTTTTTGGTGGAAGACGTTTAGGTGAGATATCTAAAGTTTACTTACGCACTTTGGATTACACTGAAGTCTAATTCGTATTAATCTAATAAAATCCCATCAATAAACTTTGATGGAATTTTAGTAGTTCAAAATCATGGTGCTGACAACCTTGCTTGTATCTTGCTTTTAACTCTCTGAGTCCAAAGCTTACACTGTAATGCAAGTAGGGAGATTATTATAGAATCATAGAATGGTTTGGGTTGGAAGGGACCTCTAAAGGTCATCTAGTCCAACACCCCTGCCGTGGGCAGGGACATCTTCAACTAGATCAGGTTGCTCAGAGCCCCGT